CTCCCTCCCCCCCCCCCCCCCCGCCCTGTCATATGAATTCTCTATTTTTATTTAATTACAATTTACTCACTGGTTGCAAACTGAGGGTCTGTAAGGGTAGTCTGTCTAGATTTCACTTTTTATGAATATACTTGAGCAACAAAAGGAAAGCCTGAGGAAGTAGGGAGTTGAGATGCCCTTAAGCTTCTGATTGCTGTCAAAAAAGGAACATGGATTATCTAATCTCTTGTTTTCTCTCTCACATTTTGACAGACAGTCTCCAATTTTGCATTTATCCTTATATCACATGTATGACTGAAATCCTGTCTGTGCTGAAGACTCTGTATAAATTGACTTATCCTTGTACATTTCAGGTCCTGACATGTCTGAATGGGAACCCCTGTATTCTGACATGCTGTTCAGCAGTAATCTTCCCTGGATAACTACACACGGACCTATTTCCCTTCACACAAATTATAATTAAGAACCTTATAGCTTCTGGAAATGTTGCCAGGGCAAACTTGCAAGTGGTGAGAGAATTCTTACTCAATCAGCTTTAGGTATCTCATTAAGGTACATATTCCTTCTAGCTGCACTTAAAAGGAAGGGCCAGGAAGGGGAAGGAAGAGTGTGCATGCATTGTTCCCACCACACACATTGGGTTTCTGCTCTAAACTGCATTCTGTGGGAACCTGTCTCTTCACCAATTATAAATGGACCCTAGAGAAAGGTTATACCACTAGCTTTGGGGGTTCATAGAATCATAGAATAGTTAGGGTTGGAAAGGACCTTAAGATCATCTAGTTCCAACCCCCCTGCCACGAGCAGGGACACCACACACTAAACTATGTCGCCCAAGGCTCTGTCCAACCTGGCCTTGAACACCACCAGGGTTGGAGCATTTACAACTTCCTTGGGCAACCTATTCCAGTGCCTCACCACCCTCACTGTGAAGAACTTCTTCTTTATATCTAATCTAACGTTCCCCTGTTTAAGTTTAAAGCCATTACCCCTTGTGCTACCACTAGAGTCCCTAATAAAGAGTCCCTCCCCAGCATCCTTGTAGGCCCCATCCTTGTAGGTTAAGCCCTTCCAACCTGTCTTCTGCAAAAATGAATCCCTAAATGAACAGATACAGAAAATGCCTTGAGTTAAATGTCAATGAAAAAAAAAAAATTAAGTGTGCTCTAAACACAGACAGCATGATCACACTAAACTTGTATTTGGAGACATTGCTGACTTAGGAATTAAAGGTATATAGAAACAGAATGAAATGTATCAGTTTCTAATTATCCTTTTGACATAAATTAATGCTGGCTTACGATACAGCTATAATCTCTGCTTCTCACTTGCAGAAAAACATCTACATGACAAGCTCCCACCTTATTAGAAAAGAACAAAAAAACAAAAAAAACACAAACAAACAAAAAAACCACAACAAAACCAAAAGCAAACCAAAAACAACTCTCTAAAAGGCTGCTTATGAATAAGTGCTCCTTCCCCCTGCAAAGTAAAAAGAAATAGCAGAAAGATGATACTGCACACTGAAAACAAGCTTCCATTATTCAACAAGTCAACCCAGCTTGTACCGTGAAGAAATTCAGAGCAAACATACCTGTACTACTGCAGGGAGTCAAAATCAATTTTCAAAAATCATGTTTGTTTGCTCAGATTACAGCACTAAGTAGTCCGTGCTCTAATTTCAGTGGTTATTCTATTTTGCTATATTATACCAAACACAAAGCATTCAAACTGTAGTAGTCGCAGAAAGTCTAGTGGCTCCTATTGTTTGAATGTCCTGTTCAGTGATGGAACAAAATGGAACAGCTTCCTACCATAAACATCAATAAAACTGTACTTAAAACTGAGACTGTAGTCTGAATGCCTAAGCAAGAAGTCCAGAAAAAAAAAAAAAAAAAAGCCAGAAATCAAGCTGACAATATATTTCCTTCCTTTCCCAAGCTAGGTATGACTACACTGAATGCAAGGGAAAAAAAACATTTTTATCCATCACTTGGACAGTCAACAACTTATTCTGTAACTGCCAGAATTGACATGTGTTATCAAAATCCTTAACTGTTTCAAATTTTTATTCTGGTACTAATTTTTGTTCCTGTACTAATCTTGTTTCCTGATCAGGGAATTTCATTCTTGCAGAATTCTGGCAACAGAGTTATTTTGTATGCCACTTCCCATTTTCGATAAAGGCCATTTTACCTTCTTTGACACTAGTGAGTATGCAGTTTGACTATTAAAATGTGAAGTTGTACATCAGGGTATGTCTTTGCCTCTCTCTTTCTCCCCCCCACCATAAAATTGCAGTTAAGGCAGCATTGAGAGTAGGTTTTTTTGTTGAAGGGAAAACAAACTTCTATGTAAATGAATGTATGCTATGCCCCAGAAATGTTAACACCAAGAAAGTAAAAACATGTTTCTGCAGTAAACACAACAAAGATCTGGTCAGCTGTAACACAGAATGTTTGCTGAATGCTTCCTACTTCGCAAGTCCCCCGAGTTCTAGTATTTCCCTTTTTCTATCCTGTGCATTGCTCAACCTCTCAAGTCAAGATGACCTGCCCTGAAATCAAGAACAAACATCCCTGTAAATTTCTATATTTGTTTTAAACTCATACAGCAACATGAAAATATTTTTCGTAAGACTGCATTCCTG